ACTGGTTGATCGGCCACTATGGCACACACTGCCCCCTAGTGGTCAGTGTGCTCCCATAGCCAACCTCTCCCAGTCAGCTAACCTCTCTTTTTCCCTCCCCTGGCCAGCCAACCTTCCAGGGTCCTTCCCCCGCCAGCCACCCCAATCAGTCCTGATGGCTGCCAAGCTGAGGGCCCCTACCCGTGCATGAGTTATATAAAAGTCACTACTGTATAAGACAATTTATTTTTTTTAATATATATTTTATTGATTTTACACAGAGAGGAATAGAAAGTTAGAAACGTCGATGAGAGAGAAACATCGACCAGCTGCCTCCCGCACACCCCCTACTGGGGATGTGCCCGCAACCAAGGTACATGCCCTTGACCGGAATCGAACCCGGGACCTTTGAGTCTGTAGGCCGACGCTCTATCCACTGAGCCAAACCGGTCTCGGCATGTATAAGACAATTTATATTTAAAGGCCATGCAACCCGGCTAGCATGGCGCAGTAGTTGAGTGTCGACCTATGAATCAGGAGGTTGCAGTTCAATTCCTGATTCCTGGTGGAGGTGGGCTAGGTCCCCAGTGTGGGGCATACAGGAAGCAGCCAATCAGTGGTTCTCTCTCATCATTGATGTTTCTACCTCTCCCTTCATCTCTGAAATAATAATAAAAGAATAGTTCAAATAAGTGTTTTGGATTGTCTAGAAAGGTAAAGAGTTACCTAAAATGGCTTTGTGTAGGAGACAGGACTTTCAGTGGACCTTAAGTACTGGCATGAATGGGAAAGAGAAAACCGGAAGAACTATTTATTTTACTTAAGAAATACCAGAGCCAAAACCGGTTTGGCTCAGTGGCTAGAGTGCTGGCCTGCAGACTGAAAGGTCTCGGGTTCAATTCGGTCAAAGGCATGTACCTTGGTTGTGGGCACATCCCCAGAAGGGGGTGTGCAAGAAACAGCTGATCGATGTTTCTCTCTCATTGATGTTTCTAACTCTCTATCCCTCTCTCTTCCTTCTGTAAAAAAAATCAATAAAAATATTTTAAAAAAGAAATAAAAACATGACTTGAATAGTCAGTCATAAAGACTATTGGTACATCTTCTTTCCAATGCTACTTACAGAGATGGACCTTATTGTTTTGTCACACAAACTGAGAAGAGGTTTCAATTGAGTAGGGGGCATTAGTGTGTTGAAATGATTGTGTACGTCCTCCCATCTCGAACCCCTGCCTTTATATGTTGTCCTTCATCTGAGAATAAATGCATCACAGAAGTGCTTGGGCTAATACTCTTTTCCTTTCAGTCATATTATTCTCACTGGTAACTTTACTCTTCATTCTTCTTTTGTGCTCTTTGTGCCCACCCCTATTTTTTAATATGTGATGATTATTAGCTATAGATTGTATGAGATTATATGTTGTTTATAGAACTTTATACCATCCACAATGATGATTGCAACACCTTCAAGGCTCTTTGGAAATAGATATTGTGGGGACTCCATTGGTTGAAAAGAAAGATAAAATTCTCATTGCTAGACTTGATGACTAAAGGGGACTTAAAACATTTGTTAAAATGTATCTTGGCCAGTAGGTGGCGCTCTCCTCCCTTTGTGTAAATATGTTATGAATGAATAGCTCTCTTTGCCCACCCTTCCCCCAACTGCTGTTGTAGTGAAAACCAATCCATCTTCAAGTCTTTTCCAAATTTAAATATTTTATTGAATTCAGAGAGGAATGGAGAGAAAGCTAGAAAGAGCAATGATGAGATAGAATCATTGATTGGCTGCCTTTTGCACACCCCCTACTGGGATTGAACCTGCAACCGGGCATGTGCCCTCAACTGGAATCGAACTCGGGCCCTTCAGTCCACAGGCCAACACTCTATCCTCTGAGCCAAACCAAATCTTTTAAATTCACCCTATTTTCTTCATTCGTTATTTCAGGTCCATCCCTTATCTCTCCTATGTATTAGAAAAATGTAATAACCTGCCTCTAGCATCCTTTGATCCTAACCCATTCAACATGCTATCATTAGAATCACTTTCCAAAATCAGATTGTCAATGGCCCACTGAAAAGTGGTGTGTGTGTGTGTGTGTGTGTTGGGGGGGGGGGGAGGGAGTGGCGGGGCGGGGGCTGAAGCAGGTCGGGAGCGGGATTCTCTATGAAGGCAATGGCAGGAACAGAAAATTCAAAGCGAAGTGAAGGCCTCTCTAGGTAATAGATTTGTCTCAGGGCAAGTGTGACTGGCTATTGTGGGAAAGGTAGATTCAGATCCTCCTGCCAAGGAATTGAACTTGCTCAATGAGCCATAGAGAATCACTGGATTCAAAGCTGTGTTTGAACAAGATTAATGGGGCCAGGCATGAGGATGGGCTGGGTGAAAAGGAAGAGTTCAGTGGAGAAAGCTTATAAGGGTAAGGAGAGCCAAAACCGGTTTGGCTCAGTGGATAGAGCATCGGTCTGCGGACTGAAGGGTCCCAGGTTCGATTCTGGTCAAGGGCATGCACATTGGTTCCTGGCAAATTCCCAGTGGGGGTTGTGCAGGAGGCAGCTGGCCGATGTTTCATCATCAATGTTTCTAGCTCTCTATCCCTCTCCCTTTCTCTCTGTAAAAAGTCAATAAAATATATTTTAAAAAAAGAAAAAGGGTAAGGAGAGAGGCATAGTCATCTGATTTGCACTTTGGAATATTCAGAAAAGTAGTTCCTCAGCCACAATATTCATCTGTAAAATACTTAGTTGCAGAATCAATGTCAGGAAACATCTAGGAAGTCAGGAATACACCCACATATTCTGATGTCCTGTGTCTGTGTGGCTAGCCTTATGTTTTCTCACTGCCTCTGGGTAGATTAGTAGGTGCCAGAAGCAAAGCCACTACACTTGTTTTCAAGTCAGGAGTAGAAAAAGGGAAACAGCTTGAGCTTCTTTCTGTATCACAGGCTTGCAATGTGTTATTATTCAACACTACAGTGTCAGATTTAGATTTTCCACCTCGAGGAATTGGGTTTAGCTTTAATTAGTTGCTACGAATATTTCTGAGCCAACTCTCGGGAAACATTTATCTAGAAAAATGGTTTTACTAAAATATAAGCTGGGTTTAGGGTGTCATTTTTCTATCAAGCTTTGTATCATGTTCACACAGTTATAAATTCTCTCCAGCCATCTGGAAGATTTTGCCTCCGCCCACCATTGTTATACCAGATAATTATTCATTATAATTTAAAATACTATAATATTGAGGCCATCTGTATTGTCACCCAAGCTCTAGGAGTAGCTGCAGGACTTTTGATCATGAATATTTTTCAGAGAAAAAAATGATGCAGGTTATTCTGCATAGAGGCAACGAATGCATTTTTTCATCCTGCAGCTCTTCAGAAAAACAAGCTTAAAAATACCAGACAAATGAAAAACAGACTTCAGCAGTTACACGCAGCTTCCTGAGTGACTGAAAAATGTGCCTCTTGTGGTTAAGACAGGGGATCTGCTTAATATGGACGAAATACCAACACTCCAGGCATTTTCATTGACATTTCACGGTGACTTTTTGAACTTAGGAGTGCTGACACGAAAAACCTATTCTTGCTGCTCTGGAAACCCCGCAGGCAGACTGCAGAGAGGGCAAGAGAGGTAAAAAGCTGCGTCCCTATCACCTTTTCTCTACTTGTGTCTTTGTGGCTGGACTTCCTTTCGTTTATACTGTTGCACTCCCCAGTTTCCCAGGATTCCTTTTCTGAAACCAGTTAGGAAACCAGGCAAGGGTTTGCTCATGCTCTCCAATCCCATGGCCTCGCCAGCACTGGGACTTGCGTACTTGACCGAAGTGAAAATATTTGTGGTGGGTAAAGACCTTTGCCAAAGGTCAGAGAGCACTTCTGTTCCTTGGAACCATTCGTTTCCCAGAGTGGCTGGACGAGCCCCGTGGCACTCAGGGCACCTCGGAGAACAGATTCAAAGGGTAAAGGAGTCCAGGGAAGCCCCTTTTGTGATCTTCCCCAGCGCCGGCTGGGCTGGGCTCCGGGGCTGCCCGACCGTCTGGCAGCAGCCCGGGAGAGACATGCTGTTTTGTTTAAACCCTCCACATTCTTTGCCATATCCCCATTGGCCGGATGGGGCTCCCCGCCGCGGCCGCTGCTGATGTCAGCCCCGCCGGCGCTGGCTCCTCCCGCACCCACCTCCCGGGCCCCAGGCGCTGCAGCTCCGCGCGGACTCCGGCTCCGGCGAGGTGGCTGCAAACTCGCGGGCACGCACGGCGGGCGCTCGGGGGAGGGGACGCGTGCGGAAGGCGCCAGCTCGCTCCCGCCCGCCTCTGGCAGCGCGGGCCGAGGTTGGAGGAACCCGGGGCCTCCGCTGGGCTGAGCCCGGCGACGGCGGCTTCCCTTTTCTACCCCAGCGAGCTCCAGAGCGCCGCGGGGACCGGCCCTCCAAAGAGCAGGAAATCTTGTTTACCGCCCGCGGAGAGGAGCCCAGCGAGCCTTTGTCTGGAAAGTCCGCATCTCCGGATGAATTCCTGCAATGAGTTTCTGGTGAATTAGCATCGGGCAGAGCGGCCGGAGAAGGGGGTCGCGAGGTTCACGCCTGGTCTCCAAGGCGTATCCAGCGGGTGACTTTTGTGCATTCGTTTTAATTTTTGGAGATTTCTCCCTCCCCCCACCCCCCCACTCGCCGCCACCGGGCATGTCCTGATCTGACGGCTGCTCCTACCGCCTGGAGCTGCGGATCCCAGCGGTTTCCAGCGGGGCTCCGTCCCTCCCTCCCTCCCGGACTTTGCAACAGCCGCGTTCCGGGAGAACCGACTTCGGCGAGGAAGGGGGCGGGGGCGCCACGAACACCCGGACCCAAACCTTGACATGCTCTTGGGTGGAAAGGAGGAAGCCAGGAGCTGAGCGCACCGCCGGGTCTGTTTCTCCCGCCGGCTTCGAGCGCGGGGCTCCGGGCTCCCTGCCCTGCGCCTGGGCGCAGCCTTGTTGTTTGGGGCCGCCCCCCGCTTCCCGCTCCGGTGGTCCACGGCCGGCAGGACCATGCTGCTCAAGGAGTACCGCATCTGCATGCCGCTCACCGTGGACGAGGTAAGCGCCGCGCCCGGCCTGGCCTCGCCGGCTCCCCGCCTCCCTCTTCCCCCCCACCCCCCTCCCCTCCCCGGGACGCCGTGTACCCCGCGGCCGCCTCCCGACCGTCGAGTCCACCACGGGCGGCAAGGAAACCTGGTGGAACATTACCTCCCAACCCAGAAGGCCGGAGGGGAGGGAGGAAGGGAGGCGGATTGCTGTTTCCACTTGTCACCCCGGCGGGGGAGGGCGGCCTTGGGTGGGGCGGTGGACTCCAGGTGGGCCCTTCCAGGGGCACCTAGATCCACGTTGCTGGGGATCAGGATGCGCCAAAGGAAGTCGCTGCGCCCCCTTTCTCCAGGGAAGAAAATGAATAAAGCACACCCAACAACCCCACGCGCGCGCTGGTAAACTGGGTGTGTATGGTGGTGGTGGTGGTGGTGGTGGTGGTGGTGGGGGTCATCCCGTTCAGGCATGGGCTCAGGCTTCCCTCCGCCCTTTGCTGGAAGGTCCAGGTTCGGGAAGAGGCCTTTCACACTCTGAATCTGGAGGCCCCAAGCCCTGCTGGGGGACACCTCGGAGCCCGTGGAGGGTGGGGGTCCAGGCTTGTGGCGGTGGCCGCCCGCCCGGGCGCCGCTCCCGCCACGCCCTCGCCACCAGGCTCCTTGACCCGGCTTCGACCTTTCGCAAACCGCCTGGCTCGGAAACTTTCTGCGTCTCCTGTTTCTGGAGCCGCGGGCAGCGTGGTCTGCGGGCGGGCGAGCCGCGCGTGGCGGGCGCCGCGGCACGGCCACCGGGGGGCGCTCCAGCACGCGGGTGCGCGTCCGGCCCGGGTTGGGTCCCCGCCGTGCGGGTGGGCGGCGGGGGTCGTCGTCCACGCTGCTCAGGTTACCAGTCAGGAAATGATGACTCAGAATTCTTCAGGCCCCAGCTTCCCCTTCTCCCTGTGCTCCCGACCTTCTTGGTGATCTCACAGTTGCTTAGCGCCTGCCCTGGGGACAGCGAGGGAAGCACGAAGCCTGTCAAGGCAATTTGAAACTCACTGGTGTGGTTTGGTATGGCCACACCAATGAAATCTGCGGCCCCAACCGTATTTATATTTGAATGTAGTTGCCCTTAATCTATGTCTATCAAGAGTTATTGAGCCGCTGTTTTGTGGAAGGGACTAGTTTACGTCGTGTTCCCAAGGGCCTGCCTTCATTTGTCGTCTAGAGCAAGTGTGAAGGGAAGACCCACTTACCCTGCAAGGCAAGATCCAAGTAGCCTGAGTTTACAAAACGCATCCTGGGGAAGCTGCTGAGAGAGAGAGAGAGAGAGAGAGAGAGAGAGAGAGAGAGAGATCAGCCCGCACCCCAATGATCAGTGGAACGTTTGCAGTTGGTTGGTATTTGAGGAGAGAGCATTTGAGCAAGATCTTGATGGATGGAGACCATGTGGGCAGTTCTGGGGCGTGCATCCTGACTGTGTAAATAAAGTGGTGAAGCAACACTTAGTTCTCTGGAGAGTGAGGGAGGCAAACGAATGAAACTCCAGTGTTTCTAGAAAAGGTGAGATCTCAGTCCATGGGCGGGCAGCGGGAGCTGGAGGTTCAGCTTGGGAGGTGTTTACTTCTACAAGATCTCCTCCTAATGACGTTATTTATTGATCAGAATTTGGACTCTAGGGGCCATGTTAGTCCTGCATGAAATACCCCTCCACCCCCCAATTTAGATGATAGTCAAGAAGATAACCAGTTCTAGAATCTTCTCTATTACCTGCAAAATCTCTTTATTCTGGGTTCCTTCTCAGGCTTTCTTGAACAGGCAGACACAGCTCCTTTCCTCACTGTTTTTTGGACTTAAATACCCAGCACCTCCCTATAAGGAAATCACATTTGAGAGGTCTAGATGGAGGCCCTTCCTTCCTTAATTGGAAAATGAAATCAGATTCTACTTGTAACACCATGTATAATTATAACTTAATTAATATATAATTCATTTTGATTAAAGCATGATTCAGTTTCTGTAAGGTCACATTTGAAATAGAGAAGCAGAGGAACATTTTAGATTGATAGAGGTTTCCAACTAAGGATACCGGCGCACCAAAACAGTTGATGGATGGGAAGGCTAGGTCCATCTTGTCAGAGATCAGACCCCTAGAGCTTGGCTGGTAGTAAACCCCACAGTTACCATGATTCCCCTTTGCACTATGCCCCACCAACCTGAACATTGACTATTGGGCAGCAACTTAATGTCTTCAAAGAAGACAGTTATCATCCGTTTAGATAGACCTTTAGAACTTACCTCACTTTTGTTTCAACTCTTGAATTGCTTTAGGCCAGATTCATGGATCTATAGAACTTCTGGGACTTATTTCTCTGTTTAACCACCACAGTTCATTAGTAGCAGTGTCCATGTTTTCTAAAATGAGGCAAATGCTTTGTCTTAGAGAGGCATTTTTTAGAACCAACACTGTGTCTGTGTCCCCTCCTTCTCCTCCCCCATTTAACTCCTTACTGAGGGGAGGGGAGGGGAATGTAAAGGGGACTGGTGTGTTGTTATCTACATTTTGCAGATGAGTAAACTGAGACTCAGAATGATTTAGTAATGTACACCAAGGCGCACAACTAGTTAACAGCTAAGCCAGAACCAGAGCCACGTTAAGCAAACACATTGTTTGTTTTTCCTTATTCTGCTCTCTGCCTGTCACTCATTTTTACTCCAGCAAAAGCAAAAACACTTTTCTTGAAAACAGAAAAAGCCAGCACTACCAACTAAATGAAAAAATGAAAATTCAGGAGAGAATTGTTCAAGAGCGTACTGTTTCTACTATTTCTCTAGCCTTATAAAATGTCCCATAGTTCCAGGAAAGAAGAGCAGCTCTGGGAGATAAAGAGAAGAAGGCTGAACTACAGTCTAGACAGAGTGTTGGTGTTTTGTTCTGATTTAGATATTAATTTCAGAATAATGAATTATAAGAAGTAACACCCCGTGGATTGATTTTAATTAAAAAAGTCATTGGGAGAGCCTCCTCATTTATGTTCAATGTCATTGTCTCTGAACTAAATATCAGCCCTTTGGAAAGTTCTGCTTAGCAAAGGACCTTGGGAGCTGATAGTTGGTCATAAAGAGGTAGTTGTTAATGTTTTCATTTGAAACAGTTGGCAATGTAGATTCTGGAATTTTAAATTTGGAAGGGCTATTAGAGATGACCTATAGTTGACCCATTTTGCTTCGTAGAGAATAGAGTTGTAGAAGGTTTAGTTAGCTGCCCAGCTCATAGCTAAGGGCAGGGTCTAGGCCAAAACCCAGGGCTTCCGATTTCTGGTGCAAAACTGTTTTACTGTAGGATAGAGGTTCTGCCATTTCTCCCCTCTGGGCTTCCTTGTTGGAAGGAAATATTTCTAAGCGTGATATGCAAAACAGGTATAGTGTTTAGTTGGAGGTGGGTTAAAGGCTTTGACCATGGATGTGTACTTAGGGGATATTTAAGGGTGGCCAGCTGCCCAGAGGGTGGCCAGGGGAGCACCATTTAGAGCTACTTTTGTATAACAAGCCCCCTGGTTTTCCTTAGATTGTATGCTTATTTGGGGTGGCTTTTGCATATGTGGCTCCATGGAGATGATGGTGGCGTTTAAGACTCCTCCCTCCCCAAGAAAGCCCTTGGGTGCTTCCACTGGTCCCAGCATCCTAATTCCAAATGTCATCTTCATGATATTTGGGGCACAGTCTGAAGATCACCCCTCCCTGACAGGTGCTTAGCAGCAAGATAAGTATTTTCCTAGAGCTGAGCACATCCTAATAAAATCTCAGGCAGGAATCCTTTCGTTTTCATTGCTTGCTCTGGTGTTTAACAGTTCCTGTTCTGATTGCATTAATATGTGTACTTTTAGTGACTTATTTGTGGTCTTTAGGGATTTGGTGCACAATGAAAGGTAGGAACATTTTTCTTCCTTCTAAGAAAGGAAGAAAAAAAAAGGAACAAGAAAAACAACTTTTAAAAATACAGAATATTATCTTGTTCTTCGCCCTGGCAGGGAGCCAGTGCACTTTATCCAGGCTCCCCAGGGCCCCAGAGACTTTTCTGAGAACAGACTTGAGAGCAGGGTGGTGCCATCTCTGGAATGACCTAAATGGAGGTGCCAAAATGCCAGGGTCAATAAAAATATTTTGTGGGCTTTGGGGCAGGAATTTTTTAAGGAAAGAGTTTTTAAGTTTGCCATCGGTATTGACAGTTTGTTTTTGGTACAAAGCGATACCCCTAAGTATAAAGGCTCCTTGGGTTAATCTTACAGACCTTCCCAAGATTCCTCATAATTGTAATTTTGCAAATGTTTTTTTAAGAATGAGCGTTATTAATTTTTAATTTTAAGAAGAAAAGCAGGAAAAAAAAAAAAACTAAAAAACTAAATGACAACAACAACAAAAAATGAGTACAATTGTGATACCCATCCCCTTACCCCCCGCCTTAGATTATTGGGAGGAACCAATGCCAGGGTCATGAGTTTGATTTCTGGGCCATCCTGGCAGCTTCTCTTGCTTGTTCCACAGCCAGAGAACAATGCCCCTCCTGCTGCCCAGCTATCTTGCAAAGCTCCCTTTGTGGTCCTGAGGGGTACCTGGGGAGAGAAGCGGGTTAATGGATAAGTGCAAACCTTTCACCACTAATGGAGCAGACAACAAGGAGCAGCTGCCACCTTCCTGGCCGGCCAGTGAAATGGCCAGTGAAATGGACTTTGTGTGTGAAGGGCCCTGCATTTTCCCTGCGATTTGAGTGTGAATGCCCTTCACGTGAAACAGATTCTGGGCCTTGAAAATAATGCACGCTGCTATTAACAAAACCCTCGTTAAAAGAGGTGGTAATTAATTTTTGCTTTTCATTTAAAAAGGCATCGAGTGAATCCCTATAGCTCTTAGAAATCAATTTAGAAACCCTGTCTGGTTAATTGAGTATTATTGATATTCAGAGAAAAGCAAGCATCTTCATTTCAGAAAGGCTCTCATTTCAGGTGAATGGAGAATACTATTTTTTTTTTTTTTTTG